AAATTATTTAACCACATTCGTCATCTGTCTACCCACTAATTTTCACTTTCTATTGTATTTCACAAAGGTTAGACAGTTTTCTGTAACGGCTGACCTGTCGATACACCTCGAGTTCCGTGCACAGAATGTAGCATGCGCGTCCCATTCTGCCCACTCATGCTCTGGTGTCAGCATTCTCTGATACCACTGAGTTCTGGAACTGGTTTCCAAGGGAGGCTGCTTTGTATATGTGCAGTTTAGCCCTGTAGAAGTCCTGGGCAAGGCCAGTGACATGGCTTGACAGGGAAAGACACCAGACACCAAGCCTACTGACCTGAATTTGATCCCAAGGATCCACTTGGTGGAAGGTCAGAGCTATATCTTCAGATTATATCCTCTGAATTCTGAACATGTGCTTTGATGGAATACACATACATGCAATCACACTATACGTACATATACATACATACACATACATAGCACATTCATACACATGTAGAACATATACATGCATATATACACACGTGTAATGCATAGGCATGTACACATAATAAAAATGTGTATGGATATATGTAAGACTTTTCAGCATCCCCTTTCATAATAGATTTTTTTTATTTTAAACCTCGATTAATTTGAATTTATACTAGTTTATAACATACTGGATTATCTAAAACTTTAGAGTACCCATCTGATTTCTCCTCATGGTTAAAATGCACTGTGTTTAATTGAACTAATCTATTTTGAGAAGCTAAGATCTGTAATTTGGAGGCTGGTTGTCTCTTTAGTTGGAAGTCTTCATACATTCTGCTTTGGAAAATTATTTTTTAACACCCTTCTATTTTTTAAACTGTGTGTATGTGTGTGTGCACGGGCACACATGTGTTTGCCCATCTCAGAGACTAGAAGATGGTGCCAGATCCCCAGAACTGGAGTTACATGCAGTTGTGAGCCACCCAGTGTGGGTGCTGGGGACCAAACTCTGGCCCTCTGCAAGAACAGAATATGCTCTTAACCACTTTGAACCACCTTGCCATCCTTTTAAAAAAATTAAAAGATACAGATGAAATTTATTTAGAAATCTATATGTTAATTCACTTAAAACATTTAAAGGACATTTTTGTGCTAAGGGTATGACCCAGTAAGATGCTTCCTATACAACTCAAAACATTGAGTTTGGATCCCTAGAACATGGTGTGATGTCACCTGCCTGTAAACCCAGTCCTGGGAGGACAGAGACAGGAGGATTCTTGAAACAGCTAGCCCAGCTGAATCAATGGATTTCAGGTTCAGTGAGAGACCCTGTCTCAAGAAATGAAGACAGAGGGGGCTGGAGAGATGGCTCAGAGGTTAAGAGCACTGACTGTTCTTCCAGAGGTCCTGAGTTCAATTCCCAGCAACCATATGGTAGCTCACAACCATCTGTAATGAGATCTGGTGCCCTCTTCTGGCCTGCAACATACATGCAGGGAAAACTGTATACATAATTAAAAATAAATCTTTTTTTAAAAAAAGAAAAAAAATGAAGACAGATAGTGGGTCAGGAGTGACACCCGATCTTGAGCTCTGGCCTACAGACAGAACTGTGCCCAAATCTTCATGCACACCTCCACACACACAAACATGTACACAGCACTTAGATATATCAAAGTCCAGGTATCTAAAATATTATCTTTCAGCAAATAATTAGTATAAAAACCATTGAGATGTTTTCCTTCTCTTTCAAGTCTACATTCTGATGCCTTTACCCGGAGCTCTTGTAAGTGCTCAGAGACCTCTTTCTGTTTTGGACAAGCAGAGAGAGACCTGAGCTAGGTGACATGTCCTGAGGTGTCCCGGCAGTGCCCTAGAGCTGCTCTGGTTTTCTGCCTCCATTCCGTGGTGCTGACAGAGGGGCCCCGGCTTGGTGGTGTGCGCGCCTTGGGAAGTGTTTTTAGCTTTGTCAGAATGTCAGCGCCATGGTTCCCCTGTAATCCTGGGAGCTTTGATTCTCATACCAACAAAACAGAATAATGGTGCATCTGGTGTGGGGACAGTGGATGCCCAAGTTGGGGAGAAACAGATTAAATTAGTGCTATTCATGACACAGCTGTTTGCTGGCAGAATGTGAAAACTTGTCTAATATGCTTCTGAATACTGTCCCATGTTGAGAGGAACATGTTACTATCAACCTGTTTCTTTAAACCGAGTAACACTATTATTTCAGCTTTGTGACCTCCCCTCACAGGAGAAGGCAGAGCCCCTGTTACTATGTGGGGATCTTCATGATCCCAGCGTCTAAGTAACTGTGATTAGCAGGGGTTATCCCCTTCATCACATAGTGTTGAAGGGTTGTCTCTTTTTTGAAAAGCAGCCAAGCAGATAGGAACCAACTTGGTCTGAGAGTTGGGGATTAAATCAACGAACCGAAATGACTGCATGTTAAGTCACTATGAGTTATAAGCTTCTATCCTCAGAAACGTTGCACACTGATGATTAGGTAGAAGAAAGGTCATAGGCATGAAACCATGAGTAATATTAACGTATAAATTTGCGAGAATAAATAGCATAAGGCTGGTCATAACAGGTCGTCGAGGGGTAGAGGGAGATTAGGGCATCAGTGGACGTGCTGTAACTCACCATATGTAGCCCAGGCTGTAGGGGAACGTGGTACAGTAGGGGTGTTGGGATATCCTGACTTATCGGGAAGCCAGGATATACTGAGAGCTGCAATAGGACAGCTCTGGAGGCTGGAGCTGCAATGGGACAGCTCAGACCTGGAAGAAAGGTGTTCTGACTATCCCTATTCAGGAAGCCAGGCTACCTGAAGCTGGGGTGTGGTGGGGGATGGTGTCCCCCAGGATACAGGGATCCTGCCCTTCTCCTGGAGAGCAGCTCCAGCTGAGCTCTGCTCTGTTCCCTTACAGGAGCGTCCTAGCAGAGCTATCTGCCTCTTCTCAGGCCCAAGATGTTTCTTCTGCTAACACTCTGCTAAGGGGAAGCCCCCTGAAGAAATGTAACAGTCACCTCCAGCAGCAAAAAGTTGTTACTTTTCCTTTGCTGGCCTTGCTCAGCTTCCCAGCAAGGTTATTCTATTCTGCTCTGCCTTGCTGATACCCCCTAGGCCTCAGCAAACTTTTTCAGCTCAGTCTTCTAAGGGACACCCCAGCCAGGTTCTTCTGCTCTGTACCTGCAAATGAAGGTCATCACCCAAGACTCTTTTGAGAAAGAGATTTATTTGGGAAGGAGGAATCCAGGAGAGTGGCTGCCTCTGCCAGGGAGGGATTAATGGCAGCTCTTATCTGAAGGGATGGAGAGGCTTCTATAGGGCCTCTTAGGGGCGGAGTTTTCCCAGGGAGACAGGGGATTGGTTAGTTTTTCCCTGCTCAGGGATTGGTCAGTTTAGCTGGTCAGAGGCAGAGATGGCTCTGACTTCATAGCCAAACTGTTTCTTTCACTGGTTCTTTTTAGCTTTTTGACTCTAATCTTAGGACCAGGGCATATTTCTTTCACTGGTTCTGATTCTAGGGACAAAGTGTGTTTCTTTGACACTAGTTTTAGCGTCAGGGCACGTGTCTTTAGTCCTGGGTTCAGGGATAAAGATGTTTCTTTCCTGGCTCAGCTCTCAAATACAGGGTGTGTTTCTTTCTCTACTATAGGTTCAGAGTCAGAATGCTCAGTGATTGGTTGGTTTCCTGCTCCAGTTGTCCCTTTTACCCTACACAGGCTTTCCTGAAACTTGTGGTCATCTCCCTGCCTCTGCCTCCCAAGTGCTGGGTTTATGGGCCTACGCCAGTACACACAACTGTCCTGTCAGTCAAGTCTTGTCACCTCCCCTCCAGTTCCCAGACCTGGAAGTAGAGATTAACGTGAAGGTTAAATTCCTGTCTCCGGAGAAGAGAGGCTGTAGGGATGGGAGAACGAGATGAGACTTATATGCCGCGCGTTCCCATGAGGGCTTATGTATTTCCATGATGTTGCTGTGTGGGGCTCATGACACAGGGTAGCAGAATAGCGAAGGCAGAATTTGGGAGAGATGGAAACAGGAGGTGGAAATTCGTTATTTCACATTAAAGCCAAACATCAGGAGCTCAGTCTTTAAAGGATGCTATTAGGTGCTTTTGGTCACCAGACTAGATTTGAAGTCTGGATGTTTAGACCTCAGAACAGAGTCATCGGAGCACAGATCTTTGCCTACACTGTCCCATTCGATTAGTTAGTAGCACTTCCCATTTCTTGCTAAGCCCCAAATCTAGAGGTAATATTTTTATCTTCCTCCCTTCTTATCTCTTCATCTTTCATAGACACAGAACTTCTCTCCTGGGCCTTACCCAGACCTCCTTTCCAGGGCGTTGCCCTGTGACTGAGTTCTCTGTGCAACACTCCTAGCAAGGTAGCCCTCACTAGCCCCTTATGCAGCAAGGTAGCCCCACTAGCCTCTTATGGAGGTGCGGCTGTGGCTCGTACAGGCCTGCCGTCCAGGCTAGCACTGCTGTTCGCTGGCGGTGCTTTGCATGGGCTGTGTCCTTCTACTCGGTGATGCTGGCTGCTGCTGGTTCCTTCTACTCGGTGATGCTGGCTGCTGCTGGTTCCTTCTACTCGGTGATGCTGGCTGCTGCTGGTTCCTGCCATAGGTCTTGTGCGCTGGCCAGTTCTAGCTGAAGCCCAACTTTCTCCCTTCTCACTCTTCCATCCAAGTCACTGCTCCCTCTTGGCTGCCTTACAGACTTCAGCCCAAACTTCTGCCTGTGAGACTCTCTCCCTGACCTCTTACATAGAAGTAGCTTCTCCAGAGTTCTTTGGAGGCTACACTCAGCTTTGTCTAATTCTAGCACGGCTTGCCCGTCGGCTTGTCCACTGTTTGCCCTGTAGCCAAAGCTGGTGAGAAGAATATGATAAATGCCCGAACTTACTGCCGAGTTGAGCGTGGGGACGTGCACGGCGAGTCTGGCCAAAGGAAGCACCAACGATGCCTGTGCTGGGGACCTTCCCTCCTCTCCCATACTAACTCTGGAGTCTGACGACTGGTCCTCTCTTTCCCACAGCCGGCCATGCCAGCTTCCCTTTCCATCCACGGTGCAGCAGCACAGCCCCATGTCCTCTCAGACTTCCTCCGTCAGCGGACCGTTGCACTCCGTCTCCCTGCCTCTTCCTCTTCCCATGAGCCTGGCTGCTGCTCCACAGCCTCCCCCTGCCTCCCCCAGCCAGCCGCTTGGACCAGATGCCTTTGCAATCGTGGAGCGAGCCCAGCAGATGGTGGAGATCCTCACGGAGGAGAACCGCGTGCTTCATCAGGAGCTTCAGGGCTGCTATGACAATGCCGACAAGCTTCACAAGGTACGAGATGAGCTGAGGTAATTTGATGGGCTGTGGGAAGGAGAGAGGTGAATGATGGGCTATTGTTGTCAGGACACTATGGGATGCTTGGGTTTCATTCTGAGCACAAGGATGTTCATAGAGATCTTATGATTCTGAGGGCCTGTCTTGGCACTTCCTGTTTTGAATGCAGCCGTACTGTGAACATGGTTTAGGACACACCACCACTCATGGTAGCTCTGGAAAAAGCAGAAAGGCATTGTTCAAGAGTGGGACAAAGGAAAAAGCCAACTCCAGTAGAAGGAGGCCTAAGGGAGAGTCCCATGGTACCAAAGGACCTGATCTCTCAGCTCCACCCTCCTTAGAGGACATATCTATTCCATGGAGGGACTGAAAACTTTCTCTGGCCTTCTGGTGACAAAGGTGACCGATGGCACAGTGCTTTGCTACCCATGGTTAAGGTTCAGCTGTTGCCTGCCTTTCCACGTGGTCTTTTTCAGTCCCCCACCCCCACTTTTTTGTATCACTACAGTCATCTAACTTCTGTAGTTGGCTTACAAAGTAGCAGGTTCCACCCTGACATCTTCACACACTAAGCCTTGGCATATGAGTTTGCATACAGTCCTTTTACCCCGTTACACAGTCCTGTCTCCCTGCTCCGTGTCCCTTTCTTTCTTCACACAGCCCCTTCACGTTTCATGTTCTATACACCTAGATTTAAACAAAACAGAACTAGAATCAGTTGTGAGAGAAAAGCATCCTGTGGTTCTGAGTATGGCCTGGTCACTTACGCCATTTCTCTGCAAATGCCGTACCTTCATCTTTCTTTATAGCTGAGAAAGCTTCCCTGGGTGTTCAGTCCACTTTCTTTCCCCATTTGTTGTTGGATGGGCACCTAGGCTGGGCCCATGGTCTCATCTACACAGCTCTGCTACACAGCACTGCTAGGAGTTGTTGGTTTCCACTTGGAGACGCTACTATGCTAGGCTCCCGTTGTGACAGTGACATACTTGTTGGATCTGTCTTCACAGTAGTTAAAGGCTCCATGGTTAGCTTTCTTGACCTGGTAAAATATGAACAAATAAAGTTGCACCTACAGTTGCAATCCCATCCCCCATCACGCCTTCGCGCGTGGAGAGGTTTCCACTGCACAGCTGTTTACAGTTAGCCTCAAGGCCATTTGTTCTCCATAGCACTGGTTTCCCAGACAACACTCAGCGTAGAGGCAGGGGCAGGGTCTCCGGAAAGAACAATGTGCTTAGAGTCTGCAGGTCTGGGTTTTGGTCAGAATGCTTGTTTTCCCCCACTTTAACACCTTCCTTATGTGGAATTGGAACTTCATTAATCATTGTAAGTGATATAAAAATAAGCTATTTAGGGGGCTGGAGATATGACTCAGTGGTTCAGAGTGCTTGTTGTTCTTACAGAGGACCTGAATTCCCAGTACTCTTATTGTGTGGTTCACATTTGCCTGGAATTCCATCTTTAGGGGATTCAACACCATCTTCTGGACTCCTTAGACACACACACACACACACACACACTAATAATAATAATAACCAAATAAAATTTTTTTTTCGAGACAGGGTTTCTCTGTGGCTTTGGAGCCTGTCCTGGAACTAGCTCTGTAGACCAGGCTGGTCTTGGAACTCACAGAGATCCGCCTGCCTCTGCCTCCCGAGTGCTGGGATTAAAGGCGTGCGCCACCACCGCCCGGCTTAAATTAAATATTTTTAAAGGGATGTTTTGGTTATGTTTAGATTCACCCCTGACCCTTGTCAGTACCAAGAGACTTCACTGGGTTAAGCTGGACAGTTTGGCCAGATTTGATAGACCATATGTATAGGATCACTGTAGGTCTTACAGGGCAGAACGAGAAGCGAAATGGAGTAGATATGAAACCTGAGGTACAGACAGGCGTCCACGATGCAGCCTCATACAGAGGATGCTGGGCAGCCAGCATCACACAGGCCCTGTCACAAATGCCACTTTAATACTAAGTCTGTCTTGCAGTTTGAAAAAGAGCTGCAGAGGATCTCAGAAGCCTATGAGAGCCTGGTCAAGTCCACCAGCAAGCGTGAGTCTCTCGACAAGGCAATGAGAAACAAGCTGGAAGGCGAGATCCGGAGACTTCACGACTTCAACAGAGATCTCCGAGGTGCAACCTGGTCTAATGCCGCCACGGCTGGGTGTCTTCCACGGCCACTCTCCACCTTAATTTTAATTTTGTTATGTGTGCTCGTGCGTGTGCGTGTATGTGGGGAGGGGTGTGTGTGTGGCTCTGTGTCTGTGTGTTTATTCAGAGGAGAGTTGATTTTTCTCTACCATGCTGAGGCATGGTCACTCTTGCTGTTTCTGCCATACTTCATGCTCCAGGTTAACTGGCTGACGAGCTTGTAGGTGATTCTCCTGACTCTCCACAAGAGGACTGGGGCTAGAGATGCAACTCCTGCATCTGGCTTTTTTGTGGGTCTGGGAATTAAGTCAGGTAGTCTGGGCTTCATTGTTAACCTGTTTACCTGCCAAGCTATCTGGCTAGCCTCACCCTGCCTTTTTTTCCCCTGGAGAGTGGGGGTCTCACTGAACTGGCAGCTGGCTGATATAACTAGGCTGGCTGACAGGGATCTTCTGTCTCCAGTTCCCAGAGCTGGATGACAGATGCATGCCGCCAGATGCAGCTTTCGCATTAGTGAAAACTCCAGTCCTTATGATGTGCAGAGTGAACTCTGCTGACTGAGCTCATTCCCAGCCCCACAAGGGTTTTCTCACGAGAGCTTGGAGAATACCCCCAGACCGCTCAGTCTGGGCCCCTGCCTGATCATCTCCCTCCTCATCTGCAGCTTTTGGGACTGACCCTGTTTCTTTGTTGTGTGGTGACTTAGGCTCATCTCTGCTTTGTTTGTAGATCGACTGGAGACAGCCAACAGGCAGCTGTCCAGCAGGGACTATGACGGGCATGAAGACAAAGCCGCAGAGGGCCAGTACATGTCCCAGAGTGAGTCTATGTGTCTAAAGGTTTTATCTGTAAAATACAGGAGACTGAGGCCAGGGTGATAGTAGCTTCTGGGCTGTGCTCTGGGAGTTCAGGGGTTCAGCCAGGCTGCTGTCTTCCTGCACACCCTCCATGTGAATCACCGCACTCTCCTTACTTACGCTTGGCGTTGCAGAAGCCTCTGAGTCCGTTTAATTTAGGAGCAGGGCCAGTGTCTTTGTGATCCTCCAGATTTATTGGGAACATATTTTATTAATTTTGCCAGAGGCAAATGATAGCATCAAATGGCTTTGGAAAAACCATCAGCCAAGGTTTGAATTTTTGCAAACTTATTGCATGAGCCAGAAATGTAAAACTCCAACTGTCATATTTTAAAAAGCTGTTTAGATAATTGTATTCTGGTATATATCATAATTCTTAGCAACATCATGACTAAGTGCTCACAGCTTAAATAAAGACAATCCAAAACAACAAAAATTAGCATATTCAAGAAGTAGTCCTGCATGTTCTCATAATAGTATCCTGATGTATGGGTTTGTCGGAGCCCTAAATTCTGAAGACGGAGAAATTTGCCAAACTTTGTGATTTTTGGTAGTTTGGCCTAACTTCCTTTCTAGCTCCCAAGCTGACTCTTGACTGGATCAGTTTCAAGCCCCCTCCCCCTCCCTTTATTTAAATTCCACCTTTGGCTGGGGCTCACTGATGCTAGCCAGGCTTTTCCTGACATTCCTTTGCAGTCCTGCAGGAGATGATTGCTGTGGGCTTTAGGCTTACAGAAAGAGCAGTGACCCTTTGACACTTTAGCTCCTGTTTAATGAAGAGTGTGTTGTTCATATCGATGCTGGTATTTGCTGCCTCATCTGGGCTTACGGAGGAGAGGTGTGCTCACTGGTTTATGTCAACTTTACACAAGACAGCATCACTGGAGAGGCAGGAGCCTCAACTGAGAAGATGCCGTCATAAGATTGGTAGACAAACCCATAGGGAATTTTCTTAGTGATTGATGTAGAAGGGTCTGGCTCATTGTATGTGGTGCCATCCCTGGGCTGGTGGGGCTCCTGGCTCCTGCAGGCACTTTCTGCTTCCTTCTTGTTGTGCTGGGATCAAACCCAGCACCTTGCGCATGCTTAGCATGCACTGTCCCACTGATGTGACCCAGCACCTCGTCACTGGATGCAGAGTCAAAGGTGGGTTTGAGGAAGTCATTCCTTCACTCGCCCTTCATCGCTGCCCAGCAGCAGTGGCGGTGGCGGCAGCAGCAGCAGCAACTCACTGCTATTTGCATGGTTTTTATTTTCAGTCCTAGCCTGGCAATGAGCCTGAGGCTGAGCCCTTTCTGACGGAGCTTGTTCTGTTTTTTCCCGCGTTCCAGACAAAGAATTCTTGAAGGAAAAGGAAAAGTTGGAAATGGAGTTGGCAGCAGTGCGGAATGCAAGCGAGGACCATCGGAGGCATATTGAGATCCTGGACCAGGCTTTGAGCAATGCCCAGGCCAGAGTCATCAAGCTGGAGGAAGAGGTGAGTGGAGCGTGGGAAAGGGACAGAGGAGAGAAGGGAGAGTTGTGAGGAACCCCCCAGGTGCAAATGAGTAAAGGGTTTTCCGTCACGGAGGCAAGCAGAATCTGAGAAGCAAGTAGTAAGAACATGATCCAAACAAGGACCCACACCTACCCTGTTGGTAGGCAAGTGCCCAGGGCTGCAAATGATTGGCATGACCAGAAGCTACTGGTGCTGGTAGAGCTGCCATGGCTGGGTCTTTGTGCTCCCAATTCTAAGGCCAAGGATTAGTCAGGTGGGTTGGGCTGGTGCCATACCCTACACCCTGAACCCAGGAAATGCTGGTTTAGCAGTCTGGGTGAAACCAGCTCTTCAGCTTAGTGCTGTCATTGCATTGACTGTCCCTTTTACCTCAAGAGAGGAATCCGAAGATCATGTGTAAGGTGTAAGCTAGGGACTCTGGGCTGTAAACTGAGGCAGGAGGAGCAGAGGGGTTACCTACAGGCCTGCACCTTGTGGCTCCCTGCAGAGGTGGCTGCCACCTCTGTGATGAGGCACCCTAAGCAGACATCATCTTGGTAAGTAGATGCCAGCAAATCTGGAGGACAGCAAGAGATCAGACCAATACTTAGCCTGGTGCTTGGAATAGAAGGCAGCGAGGGCTGTACCCCTTAGGTTCATTTTAACCCTACAAGTCCCATGTGAAAGCTAAGATTTTAACACCAGCAGGAGAATCCTGAGTGGCAGCCAAGAGCATCTACCTTGTCATTGTAGAAAGTGCCCTTTGACCTTTGACAGTGGGTCCACTCTGAGCGAGGGAGGACTGGACCCCTGTATTGTTGTCCTCAGTAAAATCACTCTTGAGGGCTCGTCTCCATGCGTGGAACTAAGGAAATTCAATTTTGTAAGCTCTTTTGTTTATTCCCTTTTAAAAGGTATTATTATTGTGTGTGCATGGAATGTGGAGGAGGACATGTGTCATAGCATGAATATGGAGAAGGATCCATGTCATAGCATGCAAGTGGAAGAGGATCCGTGTCATAGCATGCATGTGGAAAAGGACATGTGCCATAGCATACATGTGGAGGAGGACCCGTGTCATAGCATGAATGTGGAATGTATGTGGAGGAGGACACGTGTCATAGCATGCATGTGGAGGAGGACACGTGTCATAGCATGCATGTGGAATGTATGTGGAGGAGGACACATGTCATAGCATGTATGTGGAGGAGGATCAGTGTCATAGCATGCTTGTGGAGGAGGACTCATGTCATAGCATGCATGTGGAGGAGGACCCGTGTCATAGCATGCATGTGGAGGAGGACACATGTCATAGCATACATGTGGAGGAGTGTAGAAGGAACAGTGGGCTGCGTTCCTGCCACCCAGCTCCCAGCCACCTGGCTTAGCTCCGGAAATAACAACACACAAACTGTATTCATTTAAATACCGCTTGGCCCATTAGTTTCAGCCTCTTAATGGCTAATTCTCACATCTTGATTAACCCATTTTTAATAATCTGTGTAGCACCATGAGATGGTGGCTTACCGGGAAAGATTCTAGCCTACATCCATCTTAGGTCGGAGCTTATGGTGTCTTCCTGACTCTGCTCTCTTTCTCCCAGCATTCTGTTCTGTCTTCCCCACCTACCTATGTTCTGACCTATCAGGCCAAGCAGTTTTCTTTATTAATTAATCAATGAAAGCAACAGATAGATAAAGACCTGCCTACATCAGAGGAGGACCAGTGTCATAGCATGCAGGTTGATATTCTTGCACAGAAGCACCTGCTGAGCCATCTTGTCAGCCCTTCATTTAGTGTTCATAGACCTCGCAGAAGTGAAAGTCATTTATGGGCCGCTGAAATGTGACTGGTCACTCTCATGGCTCATGTCACTGATTCCTAAGCTCTGCCATGGTCTCCTCTTGGCCTCATTTTTATATGTCTGGCTGGCTGGACGAAGCTCTTTCTAAAATGGCTTGGGTCTTCGCTGTCACTCCCACTCTGTTCTTACACGGGTTTCTTTGGAAGGGTTTGTTCATCCCAGGATCTTGTACCTACTGCTCCTTTCATACTACTTTACCTGCTTTTACAGTACGGATGTGGAGTCAGGCTAGTGAGAGTCGAGCGTACAAGCTCCCTGACATAGCAGCTACGTGACCATGACCCATCATGGTGCCCATTTGCCCTCGGCGTTCCCATCCACCCAGGATAGTATATAGTATAGTTTAGAGTGAGGAGGTGTTGTAGAGCATGGCGGGAGTAACTGAGAGACAGCCTACAGAACACAGTGCCTGGTACCCTAGTGCTCTGAAAACTCCAGCTGGCAGCATGGCTGTCACAAATCATCCCCATCGGGAAATCCTCCTTGCCAGCCTTCAGGCTGAAACCAATAGAGGGGCAGAGCCACACATTGGAGGATCTTGCAGATGCTCAGGGATATATGCCTTCACTTAACATTAACACTGAGAACTGGCCGGGAGCTGGTCTGTCCCAGGCCCTGGAGACACACTGCTCACTCTAGCTAACAGACGCCTAGACAGATCTCATGCTGGCTGTATAGTCAGTAGGTGTGCATGGTGGAATGCCACAGCATTTGCTCCAGCATGGCCGCTAACCCAGGAACTTGCCTGCAGTCTCTCAGAAGCCTGCTAAAGTAACAGTCAAGCTCCATGAAAGAAAATTACCCTAAAGTCGGTGTAGCTGTCCCTTCCTGGTGCAATTGGAAGGACTTTATTAATCCAGTGGCTCTGATAAGGCTGAGCAGAAGCAGGCATGGCTCATGGCAGAGCTTCCCCCAGCAACAGGCTGCCAGACCAGGCACGTCGCTGCCTGCCTGTGTGACTGTGCTTCAGTGTGGGGCTGAGTCACTCATAAAGAGACAGGAAAACAACATCGCTGTCTTCTTGCAGAGCACCGGATCCAGTAAATGTTTTGGTATGAATTCTTGGCTCAAGTTGGCTCCCAGGAAGCTAGAAAACACCTGGATTTCTGAATGTGAGCCAGACTCCCAGAGCAGATGGAGCGCCCAGTATTGAGGGTCAGGATTGGCCCTGTGGGTGCTGGCACTAAAGCGTGCCTGATGCTGTGTTTATACAATCATTTCACATTCATTCCTACTTCAGTCGTGGCCTCGGGTGCTCACTGTGCCCTTCCCTCCCTGTAGGAAGCTCTTCAGCTGCAGAGGAGAAAGTTACTCCATTCACTAGCAAACGTACAAAGGGGCACATATGTGTGTACGCATACATACAAATTATATGTGTGTGTGTGTATTTCCTCCATTGTAGAAATAATTGTAGCATGCTCATTACATAACGTATTGTTTTATTAATTATACTTATCATGTATTACTTATAGAAATAATTATTTACTAGAGAAAACTAGAAAATAATAAATTTGTTATTCTTGCAGATATGACCTTTCTGCCATATAGATAAACATGACAAATACTTTAAGGCTCTTTTCCAGGCCTTTTTTTTTTTTTTCACGGATCTATGTATAAGTAGAAGATACAGTTGTGATAATGTAAATAACATGTGATTTATGATTTTTCATTTAACTTTAGAGACTAAGTATTGCCGATCTTGTTTCCAGTGGCTGTAGGTGCTATGATTAAAACCAGTAATGAGGCAGAGAATGCAGAGCTGCTCACAAGGCCCAAAGCAGGCTGTCCGGGGACCTTCCATCCCTACCTCCTGGCCATCTTGCTGTACCTGCCACAGGCTCCTGAGGGACAGAATGAGGGTGACACATCACAGTTTAGCTGGGGTCTCCAACTGCAGCGCTGACTGGTGTCCATTCTGTACTGTTTCACTGTCTCCCTCAGCTACGAGAGAAGCAAGCCTATGTGGAGAAGGTTGAGAAGCTGCAGCAGGCCCTGACCCAGCTGCAGTCTGCATGTGAGAAGCGGGAGCAGATGGAACGCAGGCTGCGGACCTGGCTGGAAAGGGAGTTGGATGCTCTGCGGACCCAGCAGGTGAGCGACAATCAGATGGCATGGCGGCTTACAGATGCACCTAGGAGCCCCTTGAGGGCCGTCCAAGGGACTCTGCACCTACATGGCCTCCAGGGGGGGACTGTGGTCTCTGACTTGAGCCTAGAAAGAGGGGACTGCACTTTAGGTGACCTTACATGGGGGACGTTGATTTAATGGGCACGCAGGACGAGAATACAGAGGCAGAGGAGGAGGACAGGTGAAGGGCAGGGCCTTGAAAGTGTTGTGAGGCCAGGGCAGCTGGGTGAAGCTCTGGAGGAGTGTCTGTGGGGTGAATTCTGATGAGGTGATGCCCAACTGTGGAAGGCACTTGGCCAAACGGAGAGAGTGGCTTTCTTTTGTAGCCAGTGGAGAACCAGCACCTGGGGAGAAGTTCAGGTTAGGGGAGCCTGTGGTAGATCAGAGAAGAACAGCTGCAAGTAAGGGTGAGCAGGGGTCACACTGGTCACTGAGTTCAGCTGAGGAAGGCAGGGGTCACATTGGTTACTGAGTTCAGTTGGGGAAGGCTGGGGTCATGTTGGTTACCAAGTTCAGTTGGGGAAGGTGTTTAGGGCTCCCTGTAGTAAGACTGGCCATAAGCTACCGTACTACACCTGCTCTGCCGGAGACAGCTGGTCTGAAGCTCAGCTGTGAGGAAGCCCTGAGAGGGCACCAACCCAGGGTCCATACATGTCTCAGCAAAGAGAATTTCTGCGGGAAATGCCAAGTCAGGCAAGCCAGAGGCTCCAGCCTCAGATGTGCTGGGGCTTGTCCAGTATGCTGGTCGTGTGTCAACTTCACCCAAACTGGAGTCACCAGACAGGAAGGACCCTCAGCTGAGGAGATGTCTCCATGAGATCCAGCTGTCAGGCATTTTCTCAATTAGTGATCAGTGGGAGAGGGCCCAGCCATGGTGGGTGGTGCCATCCCCAGGCTGGTGATCCTGGGTTCTATAAGAAAGCAGACAGTAAGCCAGGGACAGCAAGCCAGTAAGCAGCTCCCCTCCATGGCCTCTGCATCAGCTCCTGCCTCCAGGCTCCTGTCCTGACTTCCTTTGATAGTGAAGAGCAATGTGGAAGTGGAATCCAAATAAACCCTTTGCTTCCCAACTTGCTTTTTGGGTCTAGTGTTTTGTTGTAACAGTAGAAGCCCTAGTTAAGACCCCTGGTTTTCTAGGGAGCTGGGAAGCTCTCCCTGAAGCTGCCTGGGGTATTTGCGAGGCAGGCTCTGTGGAATTGCCTACTGGATAGGGCCGAGTGGTTGAAAGCATGCCCTCCAGTCAGCTTAGCCCCAGTGCAAGCCAGGTCCATGCAGGTCCTTCTGGAAGTGTGCCCTTGGCTGAGGAGGGCAGTGCTGCCAACATTTTCTAGAAAATGAATTCATCCCTGGCCTCCCCATTGTCTCCATGGCAGGTTCTGGTTTGTAAGGAAAGGCATCTTTTCCTCTGGGCTCCTGGTCCTTAGACTGGGTGCTCACCATGCATAGGGCAGAGCCTCTCTCCATCAGCCAGTCTCTTGCTCAGCTGCTGAGACTCCCATAGTCCCACTGAGCACAAAGGTGGTGTGCTCTCTGGCTAACAAAGTGAGCTCGACTACAGCCAGACGTGTTCTTTTCCAGTTACTGTGCTAGTATGCTATCTACCCCTGGTAAATGGCCTATCTATGGGTCTTTTACTTTAGGTGCTGTGAAACCAAACTCAACTGTAGATGAATTTGGCGGTGGGGGAGGGGGGTGCCAGCCCACAAAAACCAGCACAGAGACTTATTATTGTTATGAAAGCTCGGACCATAGCTTAGGCTTATTTCTAGCTAGCTCTGGTAACTTAGCTCATTTCTATTAATTTACACGCTGCCGTGTGTCTCATGATTAGTTACTACTCCTGCATGTCCTGCTTCCTTTGCATCTGCTGGTGATTCCTAGTGGCTCTGCCCTTCTTCCCAGCATTATCTGCCTAGCTATTGGCCATGTAGCTCTTTATTAAACCGATCACAGTGACGTATATTCACACAGTGTAAAGGAATGTTCCACAACTGTAAATAAAGAAGGAATGTGAGTCTAGAATCATACAGATTTGCTGCGATCATATGTCTATACCCACACATTCCTCATACACACCCTATACAACATGCTTGTTTCCGTACAGGCTTACCCCCCAACATGTTTGCCAGCATACATAGTCACCCTCTATGTACACTCATCCCTACCCACGTATTGGTCACCCCAACACAAGTGGTTACTCCCTGCACATGTTCACCTCTGCTCAATGCATCCCTGCATGTCACACATACTCATCCTCACACACACACCCATGCTTCCCCCCCACATGTTCATCCCCTGTGCAAGCACACTCCTATGCATACCCTATGCATACCCATTGCCATGCATTCTAACCCCCATGCCTCACCAAGCATATGAACAGCGCTCTTGGTATGCATGGGGCAGGGGCGGGTGCTGTGAGAGCCCAGGTTCATCTAGAGAACAGCAGTGGCAGGATTGAAGACGGAAATCACAAAATAATCCCTCACCAGTTTAGAATTATGAATAATAAAAGGGTTATTTATTTAAGGGAAAAATTTACAGATAGCTGTCCTAGATAACAGTCCTCTGCATGAATAGGAACAGAGTCTAGCAGCCAGAAGCAGGAGCCAGAAGCAAGAGAACAGGTGCAAGCTTTACAACTGCTTTTAGAGTATCAGAGACCATGTCCAAGTGGGCTGGTATCTTAAAGGCTATTGGATGAAGGAGTAGAATGTGCTTCAACAGCACCTCCCCCTTTTGTTTAAATAAGAGAGTTCCACACCCAATGCAAAACTATATACACTAGGAACAGCTATTAAGTATAATTAGAATTACAAGCAGCATAAACAGTATTAAGTAAGGAATGTATGCTAAATGTTTTAATAAACATTCTATCCTATGGAGTCTAAGTCTTGTATAGGAAATGACTTGGCTAGATCATAAGAGTATAGTAACTACAACTATCTACTCTTTAACCCAGTCGAAGGCTTGAGAAGGGAGATAATATTATTTGAGTAGGCAGGGAGCAATATATGACGGAGACAATTAGCTACCTGAGCAATCACCCAAAGTCTCATTTTGCAAGGTTGAAGCAACCAACTTTGGCTAAGGCCTAGCATAATTGACAGACCATTTTTAGAGACAGGAAATTTACTAGAACTGTCTTACCCTGTCTTGGCAAGATTTGACAGTCTTTTTCCTTGTGTGCTGCTTGTCCATTTCCGGATACCATGTACTTTGTCCATGGTTGAGGTATGAGCAGTTCCTTGCCCAAAGGCCAATGGTGCCAAGAAGAAAACAAATTCTGAGTAGAGTGGTTTTGGTGCTCAACATTGTCTCAGGAGTAGGTTGATGTTGTCAGGAGCAATTATGTCTCATGGCAACAGAACCCTAAGTTATTCAAATACCATGTTCTACAGATCCTTGAGGTGGTTGAAGATTACCTATCTAGACAGAATACAATCTCTATGTATCTAAAGAGCCTAATTGATCTGACTATATGTACAACAAATATGAACAACTATTGAGCTATAATATTTAATACCTGTATAACTTAAAAACTAAAACTTTATGTCAGAATAGTAAATAATCTGTAAACAAATGTGCAACAAATGAGGACAATGACCTCAAAATGTAAACAATTTATAAGTATCTTGATCAGAAGTAGGAGTAATATATAATCCAATATGAAAATGTATCCTAAAAGTTGTTTCAATATACAAAATGTCCTAAACAGAGGTAGAAACATGCATATATACAATCTGACAGAATAACTTAGCATAGATGTACAAATAATGTAAACAAAAAATAACAAATTTGAACTTACATCAATATACAAAAACTATACCAATGTAAATTATCCATAAATAATAGCTCACAAGTATTCACTATTATTATCCCCCCCTTGTTTTAACAAACATAGTTTTCATCCCAACCTTCTTTCTCTCTCTCTGAAGTTCTGTTACCCCAAAACAGATGACAGTGTCAGATTGAAGAGATGAAGAGGGAAAGATGGGTTAGGTAAACCTGAGTTAAGGAGGAAGTCTAAAGTGTGACTCTTCTCAGTCCCAGAGACATCCAGATAGCATCCACCTTATTCCCTCTTACTAAAGATCACCCACCTTCTCACATGTCACCCCGTATCTCCCAGGTGATGGTCTGGCAGCTAGAAACTGCATGTTTGGGCATCTCATTCTACTTCCATGCCTTTCTGCTTTTATCCTCTGATGTCCAAGGGGGCAGTCTGGAGCCGCTCCTCGGAATTTTGGAGAAGTAGCTCTGAGGCCAGGACTGAATCCAGTTCTTGAATTTGTATATATTAACTACATGGTCTATATTGAGATATGGAGTCAGACCTGGATTTGAATCCCAGCTCTGTTCTGCATTAGCTAAAAACATCAAATCATAGACATGGTCTCTCAAGGACTTAGTCTCTGCATGTAAAACTGGAATAGTACGTGTTCTATAGAGCAATGTGGGCATTAGATGAAATAAAGGGATATGGAGGTGGCATTGGGGTTAGGACCCACTGAATTGAGGTGGTTCATGTTGGAGAGAGAGAACATGGACCTGACTGATGTTGATGTGTAGATTCTGCAGGATTGAAGACCTGCATGTCCCCCTTCAGGGAGTGGAAGGCCAGGTTGGTGTGATGTCTTGTGGCCCATTTGGAGCATCATGATGGTGTTTTTACTTTTCCAGAAACATGGAAATGGCCAGCCAGCCAGTCTCCCAGAATATAATGCCCCTGCCCTCATGGAACTTGTACGGGAGAAGGAGGAGCGGATTCTAGCCTTGGAAGCCGACATGACCAAATGGGAGCAGAAATACCTGGAAGAAAGCACCATACGGCACTTTGCCATGAGTGCTGCTGCCGCTGCCACGGCTGAGAGGTGAGAGGTGGTCCCATGGTTCTGGACCGCAGACAGGTGGGATCTCAGCTGAGAGGTGAGAGGTGGTCCCATCGTGCAGGACCACATGCAGGTAGGACTGCAGACAGGGCTAACAATGGAATCTCAGCACTCAGAAGGCTGGGTCAGAAGGATGAGTGATTCAAGGACAGCCTGAGCTACAGTTAAACTTTATCTCAAAAGCAAATAAAAAGTTCAGGAGGCCCAAGGAGGTCCAAAGAGGCCTATCACAAGGAACAAGATCTGCCTTTTTAAAATTTTTCATACATTTTATTATTTTTTTTTAAAAAAAACTTGCAAATAAAAACACCACACAGAAAAATTACCAGACCCAAAGTCCATACAATTCAGTGAACTTTTATACAATTGGAATTGGTTTTTGGGATGGAAAACTGTAAGGCTTGTTATTAGATTTTATGCTTTCAATATCAAATATTTTATACATGTATCCACCACCCAAACCAAAAAAAAAATGCATGACAGAATTAAAAAGTAGAAAAGCTATTATTATAAGCTCTTTCCTAACATGTGTCTGGCTTACTTGAACACTTGTATGTGTGTGTATGTAAGTATCGGCACACACGTGCTGGAACACGTAGGAGGGGTGTCAGAGAATAGTGTTGGTGCTCACCTTCTGCCTTGACTGACAGACACGTCACACTCTCTCATGGAATACACCAGTCTAGCCGGCCCAGGAGCACTCAGGGAGTCTCCCACCTCTGCCCCTCAGCTTGCTGTGGGAACTGGGATAACAGGCCTGTCCTATAAGCCTAAGACTTACACGGGTTCTGGGGATCCAAACTCAAGTCATGCTTACATGGCAATCGCCAAGGCATCTGCCCCATCCAAGGTAAGTTTTAAAGCTGTACTGCTGCCTGAAGACACAGAGGTTCTCATAGATAGTAATGGGCTCCACGGCCATCTTCCCCAAACTACACAAGTTCCCGTAGATAGAAACAGGTTCCACACCGGTCTGCCCCAAACGCCAGCTCCGGAGCATCCTACCCCCTCTTCTGGCATCTGTGGACACCCATACACTGTGTATCTGTGTGTGCAAGAGAGCAGACACAAGAAAACACAAAGTAAGTCCTATAAAAACAGAATAAAAAATAAACGAAAAACCAATTTGGTAATTCCAGCATGGCTTTCTTGATGGCACAAAAGAAAAAGGACAACAAAAGCTCTTTTGAGAAAAGAGGAAATCGTGAGCTCTTGTCTCCATGCCGACTGGGTGCAGACAAACGGACAAAAGAGACTGTCCGCAGCCGCTAGGCCCCAAGTCTTCGGTCGGCTGTGTGTGTCGCCTTTATAAGCAGATTTTTATACAAGCAATATGGTCTTTATAGACAACTGTTTTTGCTGTCCAGTGCTAAAATTCTTTCCCTGGGGGAATGTGAGCAGTGTCTAGCCCTCCTCAGAAGGTTTCGTGGACAAACCATAGCACTCCACCAAGGACACCGTGGAGAGCCTAAGAGTTTATTGGGCTTACTTGGAGAGAGGGAAACGGGTTACTTGCAGGAGTTTAGAGGACCCCAGAGCTGCAACACTGGAAAATCTTCACCCAGTAGGATGATGATTCCGCAGAGGGTAAAGAGATGCAGCCCCCTCTCTTGGTTTTCCCCGTCCTATATACTCCAGCCCTTCCCAAGGCCCTGCGCCATGTGCAGTTAGGGCAGAATTGCAGATAACAGTTTAGGAAGAATGTCATTTGGTTGCAGATCTCATGACCCTACCCCCCCTTTCAGGGACTCTCAGCAAGCCTGGCTGAAATGGGCGGTCGTTGACAAGCAGACCCAGCTGGCCTTAAATGGCTGTTGCTCTGCACAGGTCATCCTGACAGCATTGGCTCCAGTTTTGGAGAGGAGGCTTTTTGCTTTGTTTTGTTTTGTTTGATGTGTGGGCAAGGTTTTAAAACTTCACAAATTTCAAAGCAGAGTAGTGTCCCTTCGGAGATATAAATGCTTGCGTTTCTAGATGCTGGCTCTCTATGTTGGTTTTGACCACAGCGCTTGTCAGCTTACCCAGCAGCGTGAACATGAATTTTTAAATTTGCCTCTGGCGCCCTAGAAATGTTTCCAAAGTAACTTGATGGGAAGTGTTTCTAGCTCTTCGTCCCTGTGTAGTTGTTTCGAGCCCTGCAGTGTTTATGGTTCCATGTGGTGGTTAAAAGCATTCTGCCTGCTTTCCCCGTGGTTTGCTTTTCTGATAAATCCACAGCCACAATGTTTACTTTTCTGCATCATGTCCTCACCCCTGCCCTTTCGTGTTTGTTTTATCATGATGCATCTTTTCTGAGACCTTCTTAAAGACACATGGAACTTGACTCCATGCTGGGTCTGGCTAAGAGCTCTGGAGTCATCCCTGGGCTTGGGTCCCTTTCCATCCACTAATGGTGTCCTAGAAGTCACCTGATCCTAGTTTTACTCTCTGTGAACACGCTGTAGAAATGGACACCATGTGAGCCGTGCTCTGTTGTTCCCTGCATGAAATAAGTGCTTGCTCATTGGTAGCTGACATTACAAAGGGTAAAAGGCTTTTATACTGAGTAGCTACCAACCTCCCCTCTGCAAAACACTAACCCAGCAGCTACATGGGTGATGCCTAGAGGCAGAACTTTAGCTGTGATTGGGAGAGTGAGCTAGGACGAGAAAGTTTAAAGGCAGCAGCAAATGCAGCAGTGATAGTCTGCGTGTGTCTGCACACCCAATCTGTAGGCTTGCCTTCACACACTCAGCGTCAACAGATTAGCAAATAGCCTCGATAATAGCAGGGGATTTTCATTTTTCAATATTGTTTTCATGAGCTACTGTCTCTTTTATTTGTTTATTTAGTACTTTATGTACATAATTTGACCTGAGTATAATGCTTTTTGTTTGTTTGATTGATTTGGTTTTTTTGAGACAGAATTTTTTTGTGTAACAGTCCTGGCTGTCCTGGAACTCTCTGTAGACCAGGCTGACTGGAACTTGCAGAGGTCCTCCTGCCTCTGCCTTCTAAGTGCTAGGATTAAAGGCATGCACCACCATGCCTGGCCCCAGTAGATTGTATTTTAATCTTATCCATCCCTCAGCATCTCCAACTCCTTCCAGGACCCTCCCTTCTCCATGTGCCTCCCTCGGATTCATGTCCTCTTCTTTGCACACATATGCACGCACACACTATCACGCATGCGCACACAAACAAGCACACACATACGCACACAAGCACACACACACCACACCTACTGAGTCCAATTAGTGTTGCCTGTATGCACGTGTAGGACTGAGCACTGGGGCATAGACAACCAAGCAGGAAGTTTGTCCCTAAAGAAAATGGACTTTCTCTCTCAGCAGCCATGACTCTTCCCCATCAGGGCTGGACTGTGGACTGGCATGGTCTTGTGCTGGATGTGTGCAGGCAGCCATAGCCATTGAGAGCTCTTGGTGTCACTGTCCTGATGTATCCAGAAGACACTGCTTCACAGCAAGTCTTTCTGCCCCGTTTCCATGGCATTCCTTGATCACTGGGTGTAGGGCCTGATGATCCATTTGGAGATGAGCTCTGTGCGGTCAGTCGCTTCTTTGCTGTCCTTCAGCCCATTGGGAGCCCTGTGCTAACCTGCACCTGCTGCAGAAGGCAGTGTGTTTGATGAGGGGTTAACGCTGCAGGTCAGAGAGCGCAGCCCTTAGATGCTGTCTTAGTTCTTAGGACAGTGTAGCTGACAGTGGGCTTTTGGGGGGGGGCTTTTCCTGAAGTGTTTGCAGTCCCCCATTCTGGCCTCCATCGAGAGTGACCCCCAAGGTGGGATGGCGGAGGTGGAGGACCTCTGGTGTCCTCTAGAAGGTGAAGCACACGTGTCTGTCCAGTCTGTGTTTGCATGGAAGACCAAAGGCAAGGGCTGGAGAGTCAAGTGTGTCTCGTGTTCCTAGGGACACCACCATCATCAACCACTCGAGGAACGGCAGCTATGGTGAGAGCTCGCTGGAGGCCCACATCTGGCCAGAGGACGAGGAGGTGGTGCAGGCCAACAGGAGGTGTCAGGACATGGAGTACACGTAAGGACGGCCATGCGTGGCCCCCAGATCTGAGTGGAGAGAACAGCTGGTGCTGCACTCCCTGGCCAGCCCCTCCGCACAGGCGCTCTGTCCTCTGTTCTCACTGGCATGAGCCTAAGGACCCCAGAGACTCTTGTCCTGGAGAGAAGGAGTTGGTTGTCTCAGTGCGAAAGCAAGGGGCTCCACACAACAGTTGTGTGGAGAGACAAGTGAAGACGATGGTTATCTAATACCTGAAGAATTTAGATGTCCCTGTTAGTTCCGGGCATTTGTTTCTATAATCTCCACATTACTGTGAGCCTGGAATGAGAAAGAAATTCCACCCCCAAGATCCAGAAATTTGGAGCCAAAATTACCTATTTCCACCAAAGACAAAGAATGTTCAACAGTCAGGGTGCGCTTCTCTAATAGACACAGTTTCCAGGGAATTGATGTCACCTTAGTGCCTAGAATCCAGCCCTGAGTCTCAGTGTACCAGAGTGAAAACAGGGCTTTCTGACTGAGCTATAAATAGGCTCAGTGAGTATCTATCAGAGTTAGTGAAAAAGCTCAAGGCTTACTGCTTACCGTCGTCTGCCGATGGTGGGGGAAAGTCGTCTTCCCTCCGAGAACCTCGCCATTTCTTTCCCTTTTCACTGTAGAAATCTCCCTGCAGTTACAGGCAGTTTTCTCTCTGTAAGTTACAGTTACACACCTTGTTTAGGGCCAAGGCTTCCGTGCTCCTCTGGCATTCCCACCTCCATTCTTTCCCCCTAAGTGCAATCCACAAGCAGCTTAGGCCTCCAAGTCCCCAGCAGGTGACTGCAGTCATTTTCACAGCCCTCCCGGGAGTTCCCAATGTCCCAGGGCACTGGGAAAGGTGCACTGCTTTGTTCTCCCGGGGAGGGCACAAGCTTCACAGACAACTTCTGGTACACCCGAGTCTGTGTCCCGGAATTACTGTGAGAGCCCTGAGACAAGTGTCCCAGAGTTTTCTAATTAAGTGACATTTTAATCACACCCCTGCTATTCTTTGGTTTGGTTTTACAGAATAAAAAACCTCCATGCTAAAATCATAGAGAAGGATGCCATGATAAAGGTCCTTCAGCAACGATCCCGTAAGGATGCTGGGAAGACAGACTCTTCTAGCCTGCGGCCTGCCCGCTCTGTCCCTTCCATTGCTGCAGCCACTGGGACACATTCCCGCCAGACTTCCCTCACCAGCAGCCAGCTGGTGGAAGAGAAGAAGGAAGAGAAGACCTGGAAGGGGAGTATAGGTGAGATGGGGACCAGAGAGCAGGGCTACAGGAGTCCTATCACTGTTGGGATTCAAGATGTTACCTTATTCCAATTTTTAAAAATATCTTATGGTATTCTGTCTGCATGCCTGAAGAGGGCACCAGATCTCATTATAAGTGAGTGTGAGCCACTGTATGGATGCTGGGAATTGAACTCAGGACTCTGGAAGAGAGCCAGTGCTCTTAACCCCTGAGCCATCTCTCCAGCCCCCACCTCATCTCAATTTGAACATTCTTCAAATGGGGAGTAAAGCCAGTCATGTTGGGGTTGCGCGAGCTAAGCCAGGTACATGACAGTACTGTGCAGATTCTAAAGGTTTGTGAGCTACTGGGCTTGGCTTGATGCTTGTCAATATCGTTGACAGGAAGAACACAAAATGTCCTAGCAGGACATGCCTAGAGCCCCTCTGTCTCAGTGAGGTTTCTATTGCTGTGAAGAGAAGGCATGACCGAGAAAATTCTTACAAGGAAAACATTTAATTGGGGTGACTTGCTTACAGTTGCAGAGGTTCAGACCATCATCATCATGGTGGGGAGCATGGCAGCATGCAGGCAGATGGGGTGCTGGAGCCGGGAGTGCTACATCTCGCAGGCAACAGGAAGTTGACTGACACACTGGGGAGTATTCCGAGTATAGGAAACTCAAAGCTGGCCTCCACAGTGACACACTTCCTCCAACAAGGCCGTGGTCACCCAACAAAACCACGCCTCCTAATAGCGCCACTCCCTATGAGACTATGGGAGCTAACTGCATTCAGATTACCACACCCCAGACTTTCACCCCATCCTGGGCCATGACTGCGACTGCTCCACAGTGTATCTACACCTGTGCAACAAGCAAAGGCTCGCGGAGAGAATGGGGAGAGTGTGCCCAGAGGACCACTCTTCCTGTGTGGTACAGGCAGGAGGCTGGGAGTTATCCTGGAGTGGGTCTTAGATGGCGCCGTATCTGGAGTAGATAGGACGCTTCACAGGCTGGGCCAGTGAGCTTGGAGAGGATGCTCCCAAGTCTTCTGTTCCTTCCCCTCTGCTTGCTGGCAACTCCGGGGGGGGGGGGGCCTTCTTTGACCCCTGTCTCTGGCTCAGCATGTGTTTTCATATGATCTGCCCAGAGTCAGTTTTCTCCCATACAGGACCTCAGAGGGATCCAGCTGATTTGTCCTACAGTGTCTGAGAGCCTCCACATGAACCCACAGAGTTGGGGGGTAGGGTCAAAGACTCTCAGCCAGAATATCTGTCTGAAGCCCCTCTATTGGTGGCCACTACAACTTCAGCTCATCAGAGAGGATTTGTGGGGACAGCAGCTGTGATAAAGACCATCGCAAGGACACTTAGCTCCAAACCCAGTGAGAGGCAGGTCTGATGGAAACTTCCCAGGAGAGACCTGTGACATGCATCCAGGTCTCCCTGCTGGTGCCTGAGTTGCAGGTCAGCACAAGGTCTGAGCGTTGAGCACCTTGGCCCTGCTGTCCACACCAGTTTACCTCCTTGTCAGTGTAACTGGTGCCCGCATGCCAGCTACAGAATCAGGAGCGACTCTGAGGGTTCGGGTGGAGGCCACCTACATGGACCTCAGGTCTTCCCGTCTCATGTATGATGACTTGAAGAGACGACAGAGACAAGGTTGTCCGCCCTCCTAATGGTTGAGCAACTCCCAGGAGAGATTTCTCCATCCCTCCTCTTCGTCTGGGCAGTGAGGAGATGGGATTCAGGCTGGCAGGGCTGAGTGGCATGGGTCTTTTACCCCCTGAGCTACCCCACCAGTCCAACCATGGTTTTCAGTTGTTTGAATTTAGAATACAATTGCCAACCCCATAGGGAATTTAATGACATGGGACTGGGAAATAATACAGGAGTATTTCTCATTGCATCAAGCATACACTCAAGTGCTTATTAGGGCTTAGAGAATAAATCATTGAATAAATGAAGTCATCCCCAGCCTGGAAAGAAAAAGATAAGTTTTCTTATAAAAGGAAGTAGAGGGAAACAGATTTTCCTTGAAAAGTCGCTTCTTCTGCCTTCAGGGTTCCTCCTGGGGAAGGAGCATCAGGGACAGGCATCTGCCCCTCTGCTGCCTACCACACCCGCCTCTGCACTGTCCCCGCCGGCTTCCACCGCGTCGGCCAGCAGCACCCACGCCAAGACAGGCAGCAAGGACAGTAGCACACAGACCGACAAGAGCACTGATCTCTTCTGGCCCAGCACGGCTTCTCTCCCCAGCCGTGGCCGGCTGAGCACTGCCCCTTCCAACAGCCCCATACTGAAGCATCCAGCTGCCAAAGGAACCATGGAGAAACTGGGTATGTGGCCCCTACCTCTACCACACTTGGAGACCCCGTGGGACTGTGGGACTTGAGGGGTGGGGGAATCAATAAGGGAGCTGTAGATCAGGAAGCCCCGTTGGCTCCTATGTTTCGGTAGTGGTTGCCACAGTGATGTACAGACTGAGTGTGCTCTTTGTTGTCATGGGGCTCACATGTGTCTAGGTCTGCTTAGTTGGTTACTGAAGAAAAGAAATAGCCAGCTCGAGTAACCTGGCAATACGTGTGTTCTGCCCTTCCCCAGGGGGCAGGCAAGTATCTGATAGAAGTCACCCGGGGGAGGGAGGATTTGCCGTGGGCTCATGACTGGGGGGAGGGGACAGTCCATCGTGGTAGAAACAGTGTGGCAAGACTGAGGTGTGAGGCTGTGGGTTCAGGGTTTGGGGAACAGTCCATCGTGGTCGGAACAGCATGGCAGGACTGAGGTGTGAGGCTGCTTGTTCACATCTGAGCAGACAGGAATTTGGGTCTTCAGCAGCTTCCTCATTTCCTAACTTCTACTCAGTCCAGAAACCTAAGACACTGTCCTCTCTAGGATCCCCCCTACCAGTCATTCTGCACTTCCCACTGAGATAGTCTCAGCCTCCCATAAATACACCAAGGTGCACGAGATTCCTGGGCGGGTCCTGACATTAGAAATGCTCCCATCAGAGAGAGTGCTTGGGAAACCACAGCACAGGCTCCTGGAGAGCTGGCTCCTAGAGAGCCAGCTGCTGATATTTGCCCTCTCTTTGGCAGAGAGCTCTCCTGGTCACGGGAAGTCGACAGACCACAGAGGCCGTGTTAGCAGCTTGATGCACAAGCCTGAATTCCCGGATGGGGAGATGATGGAAGTGCTCATCTAGCCTCATCCTGTGGAGTTTCACACCAGCGTGCTGTCAGGAAAGATGGCTGGAAGACGAGAAGATCTAGATGGAAAACCAGGACAGGTGTGAACACTTCATAATATTACAGCCGGCTCGCAGGACTGCAGAGAGGGGGAAGGAAGATGTATGCAGACTTGGAAGCAGAGATGAGAAGAAATAGGAGTGGGATTTTTCATTGTAGAAAAGTTGTATGTCTTGGGGAGGCTCCATACGTTCCCCCATTCTTGGCTTATAAACAGATGAAGAAGAGTTGGGCCTTCCTTGGAATCACCCCCATTCTCTTTGCCTCTTAGCAGGTTTGTTCCAAGAAGAATCTGCTAGAAATCCTGAACACCCATCTTGGCATAATGTGGTGTTTCTGTGCCATCATGGGGTCTCACACACGTGTGTGTGTGTGTGTGTGTGTGTGTGTGTGTATGTGTGTGCCTACCCTTTAAAGATGCATACCGGGTAATGGGGAATTCCATAGGCAAGTTTTGTCACCTACTTGGCTGTTTGGTTTGTAATCTCAGTGTGAAGTTTTGCTTGTCTGGATTGAGTGGTATTTCTGACAGGATGGGAGTGTGGTGACCGTGGTCCTCACCCACCCTAACTTCTAGGAACTTTTATGTCTCTGCTCTACTTCCTTACTTAATTTTATTGTATTTTTTTCTGTTTACTGAGACATAGCAGATTTCCTCACATGTGGGACCTAGGAGACTGTCATCTTTGCTGTGGTGTCCACCTCATGCTGGCACCCTGGTTGCCCTCATCCCCACCTTTGCTTAGCTAAAGTGAAGCTGTTAATCTCACTGTGAGCCAGGGAGGCCTGGATGAGGCGGAGCAGGAGTCCATGAGCCACTGATGTCACATCATGCCTCTGCTTGGATTTTTCACTCCCATCCCCTCTCTTGAAAGAAGCTTGACAGTTCCACCCCATGGCTCCTTTGGGAGGACTTCAGTATGAACCGGTGCTGCGGGTACCCAATGGTGGCTTTACACACAGCTTTCCAGGCAGCTCCCAAGATCTCACCAGGCCACCTGGGCCACTTTCTCATATTTGAGGCTTTCGGGTCTGTTCATTGCTCTCCCCTGGTTGCTGTTGGTAAACAAACAGCTTCCGTGATCATTTTTCTTTCCTGTGAACTTGCTGTGTAACCCAAGATTAGTTGGTGCGCAGTGTGGCCAGTGTCTTCCAAGGGCACAGCTCACCTAGGTGAGGCGGCAGAGTCATGGAAATGAACCACCATGAGTGAAGGCCAGGCCCCTGAGGATGCTACCACAGTAAGGGCTCATGTGCATTGCTGTGGACACTGGCTGCCTGCAGAGCACAGGAGAAGCTGTCCAGGACACAAATGGCCCTTCAGGCTCCCGGACTATTCCCAGCTCAGTAGGATTTGTTTTCCAAGTCCATTTCCTCATCACTAGGGAAGAAAGAAAAGCGGTGTGGCTTTGATTCTTAACTGCACTACTGAAGGGCCACATGCATGGGGAGCTCTGCTTGGGCCATTTGTTCCAGGACTTGTCCCCAGGGCAAAACCTGGGTGAAATGATGACCTCCCAGGCTGAGGTGGTGCATGGATTGTGAAAGGTGTAGCCTGGAGAACAGCTCAGAACAGAATAGTAGAGCAGAGGAGATACCAGTGGTCTTGTCCAATACCTGAGCCATCTGACAGGACAAAGGTGGGGCTGAGTTCTCCACGCTCCGCTGGGCAGTGGGCACCAGGCTTAGAGCTGCTACCTTCTCCTTTCCTCTTCAGTCTCACATCTCTGGCAGCCTGGGTGCTGAGCTTGCCCTGTGTGCTATGGGGAGGGGTGAGAGACAGTGTAGGGGAGTTCGTCAGCTGAGAGGGACCAGAGGATGGATGCCTGTGGGAGTAGGGACCGTTTTAGATAGGGCGTGGAGTTGATGGCAACTAACTCTTAAGAGCATATTGTCACCAATCAATGCTGGAGACAAAGCAGAAAGAAAAATTAGGGAGGTCTTCAGCCCTGTACTATGTCTAAACCCCCTAAAATTAGGCTGTCTCCCAGCATAGGGGTGAAGCACGGCCCAGTTTACTCAAAGTCTAGTCTGAGTGTTCCAGGCATACTGCATACTTGGGCGGATGACCTCCGTTCCAGCCAACTGTCAACATTTCAGTTGTCAAAACACAAGGGACACAGACAGTTTGGGGCTTCAATTCCACGAGTACTGTGGCTTTTTCCAAGACTCCATGTTGAGAGAGAGGCTATGGCTTTAAGGCCTCGGCCTTCAGTCTTTCATTGCGTAATTCTTTGAAACCTACAAGACAGAGGAGCTATAGTACTCACAGCCATTGCAAGCTCTGAGGTGTTCATAGGAGCTGATCTTGCTTGACCCTGAGAACAGCGTGCCTGTACAGAAACAGTGCCTGTAACTGGTCCCTAAAGCACCAGGGGCACAAGACCAGGTTGATGCTCCTGGTTGCACACACAGATGCAGAAACTGGACCCAAGAGGCTTACAGCTCATCTCCAACCTTTCAAGCAGATGCGAGGGTTTAGAGATGTAGGAGTCTCAACCGCAGGCTGCGCAGTCTTGAGCATGATGTGCGGAGCTGTGCCTCATGCTTTGTGGCCCCATGTGTGATACTTGTGTGCACACAGGGACATTGCCACACCTCTTGGGGCCTGAGAACAGGACTAAGACCAAACCACCTGTTGCTATCAAACCCAGCATTCTCAGATAGGGACAGAAGTCTTCACGTTCTGTCAAAAGCACAACCTTCACAGAGCAGGGGTCTAGCCTTCAGGTCTCCCAGGGACGTCTGGTCGTAGAACCTGAGACTTGTCTCAGGGTAAAGGGCAAAGGCTATTGTTTTGGTGATGACTTGACAGCATCCTGCTTTGTCCTGGAGAGGGCAGTGCGGTGACGTCTGTGTGTCTCCAGGTATCGTGTTTGACGTGAGGAGTATTGGTCAGGTCTCTGCCACTGTGGTTTCATTAAATAGATGGTTCTGTATGTAAGAACTCTTCCTGTCTGGAGGTCCATAGCACTAAGCTGCCAGGAAAAACACAGTAATTTCCAAAGAATTAAGAGTGAGCTGAACACTTGGCATTGTTCTCTGTTTCCCAGAAGGTGATGCCATCGGCTGTAGTGTCCGGCATGTCTCCACTGTGCCTCCAGGGTGGGGCTGCCTATTCTGCCCCCAGCTTTCCTTAGGAGTGGGGAAGAGATTGGTAGGATCAGTCCTGCAGAGGCCTCTTTCTTTGGAGCCCATGTAGCCTGACCTTTTGTTTTGAATAGATTTCAAGAAAGTTGCTCCAAGTGAGTTCTGGCCTCAGAACAGAGAATCCAGTGTTCTACCCTCGGGAAAGAAGCTCCGGTGTCCCCTGCAGAGAGGCAAGTGTCCTATTTGCTGTCCCTTGCTTGGCCTTAGCCACCTGCACATACTGAATGTGGCTGAAGCTCCTCCTTCCAAGAGCTGATGAGCTGAGTCCTCCCCTCTCTGCAACCTGTCAAGTCCCAGAGACTTGTGTGAATGGTCAGATGAGGCTGAAGTCCCGGAGACAGTGAAGTTGACAGTGACAACAAGGAACATCCAGGCAGGTCTCTCCTGTGTGGGCTGCAGAGCTGTGCTGAGTGGGAGGACTCGCTCTCCAAGCGTGAGGCCTGGTCTGCGAGAGTGGGTGCAGTCTTTCCCTGTGTTCTCCGGGTGGTCACACATCCCTTTTAGGCAAAGGAGTCTCGTGGCCATTGGAAGCAAGGTCTGACAATGTTCTTAAATGGTGAAGCCAGAGAAATCCAGTAACTTCCCTGACAGCTGAGGCAGCCAGTCTCTAAGTATACATGTCGGCTTTCATCCACTCTTTCTAATAGTTAATGTGCTCTAGATGTCTTTGGTTAATGTGAGGATTGTTTAAGGCATTTGCTCGTGGGGTGGACCCATGGGAAATAGGCTTCAGACCAACTTCTGAAGCCAGACAACCAGCAGTGTGTTTTCCTCTTCTCAGTAGAATAGCCCTTTCTTGTTTAGTAACTTAATGATATATTACAATATGTATATGTATATGTAAGGGCATACATATAAGGTGGAACTCTTTTCTTAATATCCAGAAAGCCCTACTGTTTCCCATGAGCTTTCTTCTTGGGAGGGCTGCAGGGCTCCCCAGGTCAAATGCTGTTGACTGTTCTAGCAGCATGGCCTCCAGGGCCTGGCACATTCCTCCGATTCCCCGTGAGGTGAGAGGTCCTTGTCTTTTGAGAATGGATTTAAGTTTTGGAAATAATCCCAAGTCATCCACAGGACAAGTAAAAGAACACAGAGGGCAATTAATCAGAATAAGAGTTCCAGGGTCAGCGAGATGACTCAATGGAAAAGGGATTGCCACCAAAGCCAAGATTCCCCAGGACTCACGTGGCAGGAGGAGGGAACCAACTCCTGCAGGTGGTTTTCTCTCTCTCTCTCTCTCTCTCTCTCTCTCACACACACACACACACACACACACACACTTATAGAAGACTATCAAGACATATAGAAGAGTCATTTGGACACATGACCCCTAGGGCCTTGTTTTCAAGCCCTTTTCTCTTGCCAGGCCTCATGCGCTTCCAGCCCACTGCGAATGCCACAGCCCTAAGTACATATTCATTAGTGTGAACACCCAGTAGGGGTTCTGTAAAATGGAGATCTAAGTGCATGTTATTGTCGTGTGTGCTGTGACTGAGGTGTGCCCTTTGCCCTCCCTCTGAGGCAGTGCATAGCCAACAGCTTGTAGACTCAGCCGCTCCAGTTCTGCCGCCTGTGTTGTGTTTACTCGTGACTCGCCCGTTCTCACGCACACACCTGTGAGTATTTATTACCAAGCAGACGGGACAGACTTATCCACACTACTTGTATTTGAATGTTTTCTAGGAGGGCCAGTGGCGCCTCCTCCTCACTGAGGCACTGACAGAGTCGGTGTCAAACTCTGTGAAACAGGGCCAGCACAGGCACCAGCTGCAGCCTGACCGAGTGCCCTGGGGCCACTGTCCTTCCCGCTTGCCTTGTGTGTGTGTGTCCCTCCCCTGCTCTGGGGGCGTTGCCGCACTGCCCAGCAGGCCCTGTTCTGGGGGCGTTGCCGCACTGCCCAGCAGGCCCTGCTCTGGGGGCGTTGCCGCACTGCCCAGCAGGCCCTGGTGTCCACGTTTATCTTTGGCATCTTTGTGTCACCGGATTATATTGAGAGGCGGCGTCCAGATCCGTCCAGACGGGTCCATGTGCAGAGTGGGCAGTCCCCGCTCAGCTGTGGCTGTGGATACTGTTGGTC